ATTATGGATCAGTTCCCACTAGCAAAACCTCACTTTCTTTTGCCTTTATTCATAAAGTCAGATTTACTCTAATTTACTTTTATTTATGTGCGCGGTGTTGTCTTTTTCTCTTTACTGCTATCTCCAGTTCTTGCCTCCACTTCCTGACTTGCATCCTCGTTCCCCTTCTTTACCCTATCCCAAATCCTGCTAGCAAACAAGATATAGACCCACCCCCATCCCTAATGTAACATCACTGTTCAAACAAACAGTATTTACCTTTCCCTACCCCAGGTATTTACGGTTAAAATCAGAAGCACACTTCCTCATCCTTTCCGTTCTTCACTGCTCCACCCCCTTCCTTCCTCCAAAGGTACGTTACTTAGCCAATCGGCAAAGGATCTACGCCATTTAGTCCTTAAACCCGCCTATCCCACCCCCCTGCTCTGCCTTGAAAGAAACCCGTCACATACCATCCCCACTTTCACCTGCCACACTGAAATTTCCGTCATCCGCCGTGGGGCAGCCTCACCCGCCGTCGGGAGCAAAAATTTTTTGCAGTTTGCGTATGAGACGAGCCGAGCCGACCCGAGCCGAGGCGAGTTATAGAAATTGTCCATTTAATCTCGCAGCCTGTCGTGCGCTGGGACACGTTGTCAAATCCGGCAATTACAAAAACATGGCTTGGCTCCTTTCATACACAAGATGCAGGAAATTGTTTCTCCAGACGGCAGGTAGAGCTGCCCCACGGCGAACGGCGGCAGTTTGAATGTGGCAAGTGGAAGTGGGGATGGTATATGGCGGGTTTCGTTCGAGGCAGGGGAGGGGGCTAGGATAGGTGGATATGAGGACTGAATGGCGTAAATCCTTTGCCAATTGACTAAGTAACGCACATTTGGGGGAGAGAGGGGAGCGTTTAAGAACGGAAAGGATGAGAAAGTGTGCTCTTGGGACTTCCCTTTTTATGCGTTTTTCGCAGCCATGCAATACAGAAAACGCACATTGACGAGGGGTTGTCTGTGTGTGTGTCTGTGTGTCCGTGTGTGCGTCTGTCACGGTTTTTCATCTCAAGACCTACAAAAGCTACGGGGCTGAAACTTAGGGAACTTAATCTACGTGCACGTACGGCCTCCAATCCCCAAAATGGGCGCCATTACCCCCGTGGTACCCGCGTACGCGCTCGTCAAATTTTTTTACTGGTAAGTTCATAACTCGGGGGGCTGAAATCTTACAGGGATGTTCACCGTCCAAGTAGGTATTAGTGAGCTCAAACTCAGCCTCCGGGTAGTAGTGGTATCCGCGTACGAGCTCGCCAAAATTTTTTTTCGGGTAATTTCCTAACTCAGAGATCTGAGAAGCTAGAAAGCTGAAAACTTAGGGTGACATTTCTCGTCCAAGTAGATATTAGTGAGCTCAAAACCAGCCTCCGGGTAAGCGTGGTACCCGTGTACGGGTCCGCCAAGATTTTTTTCGGGTAAGTTCATAATTTGGGGAAGAACTGTAATTTTAAGAGGATATTCCCCGTTCACCTAAGCCTCATTGAGCTCAAACCGAAACTTCGGGTACGCGTGGTACCCACGCACGAGCCCACCAAAGCTTTTCTCGGGTAATTTGCTAACTCGAGAACCTGAAAAGCTAGAAAACTGTGATTTTAATAAGATGCTGCCCGTCCGCGTAAGTCTCAAAGAGCTCAAACCCAGATACCGGGTATTCGTGGTACCCACGTACGGGCCTGTGAAATTCTCCAGTAACTTGCTGACTCAAGAGCCAGGAAAGCTAGAAAGGTGTAATTTTAAGGGGATGTTTCCTGACAGTTCTGGCGGCCAGTCTTAATTTGTTTAGCTAGAAGCATTTCGCGGAAAAACCGGCGCTGGTAGCGACAAAAACTGCGGGAAACTATGCAAAAAACGCATTTTCGCACGGGCAGCCTGTGCGTTGGCCAATTATTATGAAACTGCTGCTTAGGTAAAGCTGTTCCACAAAAACCCGTCATTAGGCTTCTTTATTTATGAAATTGATGCTTAGTTAAAATTGTTCCACAAAAACCCGTCATCAGTCTTTCCTATTTATGAAACTAATGCTTAGGTAAAGCTAAGAGCGAAAAAGTCCTATGAAGTGAACAGAGACAAGGTTGAATGGATGCCTGGGGATGAAGTCAGCCTTCGCTCCTGTGAGATTTTGAAGACAAAAAAACAAAGGTATAACTGTTGTGCGCGGCTGCAGGCTGCAGGAGGCACAGTGTTGCAGGAGGCAACAGTGTGGAATATCTGCAGTTCTTGTGTAATCCAGTTGGGCTTATTTGCCCTCAGCTTCACCTAAGCATAAGCTTCAGCAAATCCTGTCAAACTTATTTGCCTCAGCTTCACCTAAGCATAAACCTCACAAATGCGGGGACCGCTTGTTGAAGACGGGTTTTTGTAAGACAAATCCTACTCGCATAAGCTCAGTTTTTGTTTGCTTCTGCTTTTTTGCTTTTAGTTACAGGCTACAATTCTTTGATTTTGCTTTTTTCCTTTTTTTCACAAATTCAGGTCTGTTTTAATTTACTTTTCTTTGTAGTGCCGTGTTGGCTTATTTTCGTCTTTACTGCTAACTTCTGACTAGCACCCTTCCCCTACTGTATCCTGTCCCCAATCCCTGTTCCAGAGTCGCATCGGGGCACATACCAGCTCCAACCACTGTCACCGTTTATCGTCCTGAACTTCTAACCAGCAACTTCATTCGTCCCCATTATCCTGGCCTCAATCGCGCCCGCTGAGCTGTATCTAGGCAACTACCAACCAACACCCCCCTCCACCAATCACGTCCAATCCTCCTATTCAACACTCCCCCTCCCCCTCCCCTCCCTCCCAGCCACGTGATCCAGCCGCCAGACACTGCTACCCGGAGCGTCTGGCAAAGTCCCAGCGAGCGGCGCCGCGAAATAGGGCTGGCAGAGATGATAGAACAGAGCCCTGGAAGACCCAAGCACCATAGACCACCAGCCGAATCGAGCCGAGTTTTTGTAATTGCCCTTACAAACGTTGTTTCGCGGCAAGTCTCGTCGGTGCCGCTTGGCACTTTGCCGGGTTTGCTGGCTGGTGATGCCCGGCGTCCCCGCTACTGGACGGCATGTGTTGGAGGGGTAGTAGGTGAGGGGTAGGGGCTACACGTGAAGGGGGTGTTGGTTCGTAAGTGCCCCTATATGGTTCAGGGAACACGGATTGGGGACAGAATAGAGGAAAGGGATAAGCTTATTTATGAAACTGTTTACGAAGCTGATGCTTAGGTAAAGCTCAGAGCTCTCAGCTCACCCAAACATCAGCCACTCGATCTTTCAGCTTTACCTAGACATCATCTTCATAAATGGGGCCGGGGCGTACCGAGCTGAGCCGAGTTTCAATGACTGCCCTCAGTAAGTGAATTCCACAGACGTTCACATAGGAATTTTGTCCGCTTGATTACACTGATTTTTGATCTGTTCAATGCGACACAGAAACCAGTGTTTTAGACTCACAGCTTACTTATGTTTGGAATTTTAATGTTAGCTTTTATCATGGAATCATAGGCGAAGGTACTGACTGGTTTAAAAAAAAGTGGTTTCTGGTTAACCATATATCAGTTCCTTTTGAACTTGGGTCGGAAATTTCGTGTTTGTTATAACTACCATTTTTGTATACAAAATTATGCTGAATCTGGGCCTAAGAAAATTGTAGAACAAAAATTAAATACAAGAGGTGATATCCGTTCACTTTTGCTGCATTGCACATAAAACTTCAAAATTCTAGTTCGCTCCGTTCCGAAATAAAAGAATGGTCAAAATTTGAGCCTGAGTGACGATTCAGACAAAATAAAATGCGCGATAAAAGATGAACTCCCACGCACGATGAATTGGACTTCCGAAAGTTTAAGTGGGTGGTTCTGCTTGTGTACAAGTTATATTTATTTTCTGAAGAAGTAGTTGTTGAGGATCACTCAAAAATGGGCTTACCTCGCTTTGGTACAAAAAATGTATTCGTGCTGCTGTGTTTAAACGAAAAGTTGGTGATTCAAGCACTGCGACTTTGCCTTTTCTGAATAATAATGCAGTCACTGCACCACTGCGAGATTTAAAGTGACTGTGTGATGACGCAACGCGACCGGAACTGTACAAACATGTCTGCCCTGGAATACAAAGTTATAAATCAATAAAGCGCCGAAGTTGGTATAATTTTTTCCGATGAACTGCTGCTGATTTGCAGTGGGTAAGTGCTATGAACATGTACATCACGGTGTTTTTCTAACTTACCTACTGTACGAGAAGTGCTAAAATTCCGGATTTATAACTTGCTGGAGTTAAAACTTCAAGCTATATTCGAACGAAGGTTTAAGAGAGAGGAATGTCTAAATTCTAATTTTGCGTCATTCCTTTTCAACTACGTGTGAAATAAACCTGAAATTTTCAAATTTTCAGCTCACTTTACTTTGAAATTATAAAACTAATGCAAAACTGAGATATGGAACATAGGTCAGAAAAAAATTAAAAACAGATTTCTCACATTATTCGTCTTAATGTGCATTTAACTATGAATCAAAATTTCAATTCCTAAAAATGTGTTTAGTGTATTAAAATCAGTCCGAATTAGGGTCTCAAATTATGGATCAGGAAGCATGAACTATGAACAAAGATTTCAAGAAATTTTTCTAAAACAACATGGATTGTAATTCTAAACCTCTTTTTTTTTGCACTCGGATTACAAAATTAACCAGCAAGAGATTCAGATCAGGGAAAGAAAAGGGATGTCAGTTGATTTTTGATTTGCGGCACCGTAAATCGTTTTAGACGTTAGCTCCAAATTTAAAGGTAGTGAGCTTTTATGCTTTTTTGCTGTGCAGCGTTATAGCGCTGCTACAGTGAACAAAAACGCATACTGTGAAGAGGTCATCCGTGTGAGTGTGTTCGGAAGCGAGTGAATGTTGTCATCCAATTTCAACTCAACAATCAGAGAAACTGGGAGGCTGAAATTTTGGATATATGTTCCTACCCTGTGTGTCATCCTCCCGTTTTAAAATTTTCGCTCATACGCGCCTAGACCCCGCGTACGAACCCCGAAAAAATATGCAAATTTCTTTGGAGAGAAATGATTTCGGGAACCAGACAAGACACGAAACTGATACTTTACAGGATATTATCTGTGCATGTATGAACTAAAGACTTCAAATTCAGTTGCTGCGTACTGTTATACCGCGCATAGGCCATGTTTGGCACTGTGTCAAAAACTAACCGGAAAGTAGTAACTGAAATTTTGTCAGTGTATTTATTGCCTATCAGGGATATCAAATACCTAAATTAAGCTTCGATTTGCACTTGCGTTACGATTTAGGACATTTTAAATATATTTGTTGCGAAGTGGCTACTTCGTTTGCCGGGCAAACTGCGAAGCTGAAACGCTGCACGGACATTCTATATTCATAGAAGAACTTATTTCAGCTTGGAGGTTAATGCGATAAAAGCAGGTGCATTTTGAGAATTTCATAATTCTCTTGCGACTTCTTTCAGATTTACATTTTTTGGACGAACGACTATTCACTGGAAAAACGACCGGGCTTTATGCAAAATACTGATGATCATGCATACTGGAGGTCTATGTGGCCTCGAAATGCAACTTTTTCGTCCCAGACAGATGACCTTTCCCTCACGATGCAGAAAAAGGCCAAAACACAGCTGATATGAATCTGAGTGTTAAACTGCAGCACTGGAATCATTCCCAGTCTTAACTGTCTACAAGCTTAGCGCAAAAACGCATGATCGCGCCTCTCGAAGTATTAAGTTCGTATGAAATTCGGTTTCGCTGGCAAAAGGACAGTGCTACTTGAAAGTTGATTTCAAGCTTTTAGTTTCTTGTATCATCGATACGCCGCCTCAAAACCTCAGCTTCCTAGATTTCATGCTCCTGGGCTTGAAATATGGGTCGGACAGCGAGACAGTCAGACTGACTGACACACAAACACACACACATACATACAAAGGCATAATCCTACCTTCGTGCGCTTTGCTTCGCATTTAATCCAAGAAGAATGTGTTGAAAATGCATGGTCCTCGAAAAATAAAAGGATCATCAACGTTACAAATTCAGGAAGTTGAAAAATGGGGAAAAATCACCTTCTTCGAAATTACAAGAAAGCAATCGGCAAACATTTGGATCCGGTATGTGAGCTAATCCAGAGCGAAATAAGCGGACTCCATGATCTCGTACAAATGAAGGACAAATATCACCCTTGAAAATGCTTTTGCAACAGATTCACAAGATATTGTCTAGTATTGCCTGGCACCTACTCCAGGAACGTGAAATGTAAATTATGTAACAATAGATGTAAACGAATTGTGGAGCAGATAACACATGTATTATTCGCGTTCCCTCCTTCCACTTTAATTCTACTTCGATAAGTGAAAAAGAAAAAAATTTATCCGTTTTTCCATACAAAACGATGCAAAACTATATCGGTCCTATTCCTGCAGGTATGCATCTATCCGATCATTTCACAGGAAGATTAGATTTGGTAATTTTAGTTCATCGCTTTTGGAGAGTTTATGAAAACTTCCAAATCCTTCTATACCGTAGGAGTATAATTTTGAGTATGAGGATAATTTTCTTACGTGTGAGTATAATTTTTTCATAAGGTTAGTATTTGAAGGGTCTGAAAGCTTGACCCAGACTTAATAATGTTATAGTTCTGGAACAAATTCACCAACAAAACAGAAATTTGGAATAAAATTTTGTGAGACAGTAAGGTCAAAGTTAATTTTCAGATTTCTCTGTGTCAGAAGTTATGTTGCCTCAGGTCTGAATCAAACTTTATTATTTCAGCGCCCGAAAAACTTTAATATTTGGCCAGTAAATAGTAGCAAAAAGTCCGGAATTTTCATAGTTAATTCGCAAATCGTCGACAGCAAGTAATAAAGAGCCCAAGTGAGTTCATTATCTGCTTTTTTCCCTAATCATTGATCTCGAATCCAAATTAACACTAATTTGGCTACACTTAAACGAATGACTCATTAAATCATTACAAGTCGTTACAGTTATCATTATCAGCAGCAGCGACACTTGCAGTTAATTCCGCGCGAGGACAGTAATGATTGCTTTTCTTACACGCATCTAGAATAAACTAGTGCAGTATAGTGCTATTTTTCAAACGATTTAGTGTCGCAGTTTGGTAAATGATAACTAATACGGGCAGCGTTTTCGTGGCTCACGCTTGCCGCTTGGATACCTTTTGCCCCTCGACCACAGGGTAGTGTATCGTTTAGTTTTCAAACAGTCTTTCGGATGGGAAACCAACGGCAGCTCACTCGAGTTGAGAAACAACTTACTACAGGAACACCACTTCTTTCACGCCGTGCGGGCCTGGGGAGATCGAACTGAAGCACAAGCTGTGTTGACTCTTTAGCGTCTTGGATTTGAAACAGTTTTGGCTTGGCTGAAAGTTTAGCATGAATTGTTCAGAAAGCGACCAGACCGTAACACTCAAATCATCGATCATTGCCATTCCTTGAGATGAAGCTTCTGCCCTCAAAGCAATTCGTATCGCATGATTGATTTCAGGCAAATCAACAAGCGCCGGCCCTGGCTGTTTCAGAGTGATTTTTTGGCAATCAAAAGCCGCCGAGATTTTATCTTCAAGCAAACAGACATCAAGACGTGTGGCACCGCTCAGCCAAAACCTGAAAAAAAGACAGGACAAGCAATTGTTCAACAGATTTTCTTTGAAGCAGATATAAAAAAACTATGTCAGCAGTTCTAAACATTATTAGCCTAAATCACTGGCGGCGTGCATCGGGTGGGCCCGTGCGATCATGCGTTTTTGCAGTATTTCGTATGTAATGAGATCGCTCGGAGGCCTGGTAGCTAGGATTTGTGACATACTGGTCCTCGAAGTTCGGGAAGTTAATTGTCTACATGGCACTTGGACAGGGAACATTCCGTTAAAATTTCAGCTTTCCAACTTCTCTGCTCCTTGAGTTAGCAATATTCCTGCCAAAAAATTTCATGAATCCGTACACGAGAGCAACACGTATCTGGGAGCTAAATTTGATATCTTTAACTTTTACGGGGGATTGGCGACATACCCTTAAAATTTCAGTCCCCAGCTTTCCTATTTCCTGAGTTAGCCATTTTTCCGCCAAAAAATTTTACGAATTCATAGGTGAGAACCATGCATGCCTGGGGCTGAATTTGATAAATTTTTATTGTACAGTGCTGGAAACGTTCGCTGAAAATTTCAGCCTCCTAGCTTTCCCAGTTTTCGAGCTAGTCATTTTCCCGCCAAAAAATTTCATGGGCCAGTAAGTGAGAACCACACATGCCTGCGGCCTGAGTTCGATGATTTTAAGTTGTATATGTGCTGGAAAAATCCCCCTAAAATTTCAGCCTCCCAGCTCTTCTGGTTCCCAAGTTAGTGATTTTAGCGCCAGGAATCCTCACGGGACCGTACGCGGGAGCCATGCATAACTGGAGGCTAAATTTGGAATCTTTGAGTTCTATTTGGATGGGGGACATCAAATTTCAGCTTTCTAGTTTTTCTGGTTCCCGAATTAGCGATTTTCCCGCCAAAACTTTTGCCCTCTCGTACTCGGGCCTAGACTTGTGTGAGGGTTTGTACCGCGGTCCTGGGGCGGCACTTGGTCGGGGAATTCGTTGGCAAAATTTTGGCGCCGGAGCTTGCTTGAGTGCCCGGGTAACTCAGGCTGGAACGCACCAGGCGAGCCGGTGCGATCATGCGTTTTTGCACCAGACTTGAAATAA